GTGTGTGAATGAGTATGTGTGTGTAAATGTGTGTATGACTGTGTGTGAATGAGTATGTGTGTGTGAGAGTGTATGACTGTGTGTGTGAATGAGTGTATGTGTGTGTGAGTATTGTGACTGTGTGTGAATGAATGCATGTGTGTGTAAATGTGTGTGTAATGTGTGTGTGTGAGAGAGAGTGTGTGTGTGTGTGTGTGTATGTGTGTGTTATAAATGATAGTTAGATATTGCCTTGTTGCTGTGATTAAACCCCGACAAGAGGAACTTAGGAAGGGGGTTGCTTTGTTCTAGTTGGTTGTTAGGAAAGCCCTGGCAGTGTGAGCGTGCGGTGACAGCTCGCCCCCTCAAGGAGCATGAGACAAGGAACGCCAGTGCTCAGCTGCCATTCTCCTTTTTATTCAGCACAGGATCCCAATCCATGGAACCCACGTTAAGGTGGCTCTTCCCACCTCTGTGAGACCAGTTCCCCACAGTCATGCCCAGAGACTAATCTAATCTAGATAATGTCTCCAGAAGAATGCAGAGACTTGTCTGCTAGGGGATTCTAGCTCTGGTCAAGTTTACAATCAATATTAACCATTGCAGACATACTTAGACAGAATTAACAATATCTTACCAAATGCTCAACAGATTTGTGAGCTGGCTGTTAAACCACTGACAACACATTTTAAAAACACCATCCTGAAGGGGGAAGCAACGTTTTCTGTTGTAGGTCTTAAAGCTTTGCATAAGTTCTTCCTATTTCCTAGGGCATTCCTGGCCCTCTGTAATGTGCCTTTGTCAATCTTTCCATGTAGAGGGCAAGTGAATCTTCTATGGACAGGGCCCTGTCCACTGTCTTGACTAATAGGATACTGCCAACAATTACTTAAATAACAGTTTTAAAAGTTCTTGGATATTATGATGTGCCTGTCTTCAGACTGGAAACCCTCCCACTGTCATGTGACCAACAGTGACATGGGACCTTAGATCACCTAACTGCCCCTGCAGCTCACCCTCCCCTAACTAAGCCAGCTGAGATCAAAGGAACACAGAACTATTGTAGGAGTGCTTGATGTCTTAAGTCATCAGCTTTGGGGATGACTTGCTATGCACGGATAGGTAAGCAATCCTAGGGTTTGAATGAGAATGGCCTCATAGGCTCATATGTTTGAATGCCTGAGCCCTAGTTGGTGGAACTGTTTGGGAAAGATTAGGAGGTGTGATCTTATTGTGGGGTGGGCTTTGAACTTTCAAAAACTCACACCATTCTGTTCACTCTCTCTCCCTATTTTTCTCTCTCCCTCCCCCTCACACACACTCAGCCTTGTGTTGCTGAATCCATGTGAGCTCTCAGCTACTGCTCCAGCCCATACCTGCTCGCCTGCCACCACGCTCCCCAGCATGATGGCCAGACTGCTTCACCCTGTGTAACTGTGAGCTCCGAATTAAATGCCTTCTTTTCTCCATTGCCTGGTCATGGTGTGAGAGTGATGTATTTTCCTTATGACCAAACTCGGAGATACTCAGAAAACTCAAGTGTCACACATACAGGGGAGCTGCTTTTAAGTGACAACCACAGAAACTCCCCCCCACACACTGTAAACAAAGCAGATGCCTTCTGACTACACAGCCTAAAGCAGCCATCAACAGAGAAAGTTTGCCACCTGCCTCGTGAATATGTAGATCTTCTTTCTGCTTCTGCAGGGATTGTGGATTGTTGCTGTTTCGAATGTTTCAGGGTGTGTTGTTATTTTAAAAGGGATGGTTGAATCCAGCTGCATTTAATAAATTCTAATACTTACTCCTGGCTTAGGTATCTTCTCAAATTCCTTTAGCACGAGACTCTTTTCTTCAGTTAGGCTGCCAAAAGAAGATATCATATTTGACAAAAAGCACAAAAGAGTAAGGGCCTTCTGTACCAGCACCTTCCTATTTTCTCTCTCAGCCCCATCTCCAGGCTCGCCTACTCATGTCCCGGTGTCCCCTCTTGACGGTGGCTCTGGTTCTCACTGGCCCACAGGGGTACTTCCTCCTGTTCAGCATTCCAGCTGCCTTATGTGCTCGTACCTAATATAGCAGCTCTCTGGGCATGTTACTTATAACATGGGCATGGACCTCCCTGAGGACTGAAACTCCTTCCAGGAAAGTTCAGGGTCTTTTTCTCTATATACTAAATTACTGTCAGGTCTTCCTGAAGCATCTGCCTTGTCTGTCTCCAGCCTGGGCCCAACAGTCGACCGTCTACTTTCAGTGCAAAGATTTTTAGCAGCATAAAGAGGATCCCATTGCTTTGCTGCTCATTGGCATCCCATCAAACCCGGACCAACCTGAAACTGTGTCATAACCTCCCCAGTCTCACTGCGTGCCACCCTCAACTCTGGCCCACTTGGCTTTCTCCCTGTTCCAGTCTTAGGGTCTCTGGGCCATCCTACTAAAATGGTACCAACATTTCCCTCACTGCTCGCTGCCTGGCATTTTGTTGTGCATTCGTCAACATTAACAGAGACTGCTCTGTTCACACTGCACTACCGTTGCGGGCCCATAGTTGGCGCTCTACTAGTAGCAGGAATACACTGGATGACTCAAGTTGGTTGAATTCCTATTTTCATGACTTGAACTATACTAACCGAGGATAAAGAGATAAAGAAATGTAGAATGACCCGTGCCTCACTTAATTTACACCCGAATCGGAAATTTTCCACGGAAATCATGAATGGAAGAGTCTGCAGATGCTCACAGGTGGGAAAAGGGGTCGTTCCAAGAACTCCCGAATTTTACATGACAGTTTCATTCCTCAGGGA